TAAGAATATATTATGTTGTAAGTTTTAATGTCACATAACATTATAATTATATTATTTCTGATGCATTAATTATCTAAAATTTGAAGTGAGTGACTAAAAATTTACATAAGACTTACAAGTGTGACTTATCCCTACTTATTTTATTTAGGTCTTTGGATAAGGTAACAATATCTGCCATCTTTTCCTTACTCATGTATTTTTTTTGTAAAAGTTTCTAAATTGATGAATGCAGTGGTCAATATTCTCTCTCTCTATATATATAAATCATTGTATTAATTTATTATTCTGGTAAGTTTCCGGCTTTCCCAAGCTTAAAATTACCCATTTAATTGCTGGGTTTTGTCCAATAGTTGATGCTCTGTGTTGTCCGAGATTGTGCTAGAATTATGGGATGATTTTGGGTAGCATAAAACACGTTTTAAGCTTGGCTGAGGTAGAAATTTCTTGATTTAGTTGCTGTGTTGTTTATAGGAAGAAAACCCCGTGATTAGCTAGTGTTTTGGCTAATGTTTGGAAGTGGCAGTACTGTTCACGTCGTGAGCACTGTTCACTGGGTACTGTTCACACACCGAGGGTTAATGATTAACGGGGATTTAAGGTTTAGTTTGTGATATAAGAATGAAATTGGAGATGTTCGGTTATGTGGAGATTGATAGAAATAGCACTGTGATTGGGGGTAGTGTTGATGATGATTTCAGTTTGAATTTATGGTAGTTCGATATTAATTCTTGGAATATTGTGATTAGGTTTTGATCGTTCTGTCACCGTAGCACTTGGGTTAGCCTTCTGTTCTGTGCGAGTGAGGTAAGTAAATTATGGTAAAGCCCTTTGATTTTAAAGCATGTTTTAAACTGTTTTTGAGATGGTGGCAAGGTTTAAGTTGATTTTAAATTGATTTTATCAGCATCTGAACGTGATTAAACTGAAATGGAAATTGTGATGGTTTTTATGAGAATTTCCTTGTTTTTCTGAAATTGAGCATGATTGGAATGAAAATGAGGATTTTATTGATTTTCTGGAAATGAGCATGATTGAGAAATGAAAATGAGAATTTCCTTGTTTTTCTGGAATAGAGCATGCCTATTTGGGAATTGACGGAACTGTTTTGATGAACTGAGAGTTTGCAAATTCTGAGTTTTCTGTTAAATCCATGGCCACATGGAATCTTTCTGGTTATTTCTGAAATTGGGATTGATTGTGAAATTCGGGTTTTCTGTAAACTCTGCATACTTTTGTCTCGGATATAGTCATGATTACTGATTACTGTGCCCGCTAGTGGGAGGTTTATAAACGCTAGCACATGTCGACATGTTTACTGATAGAACCGGTTCACCCTATCAATGGGGTTAAACATTGGTAATTACTGTCGCCTGCCAGTGGGAGTTGTAAACACTTGGCACCATTACTGTCGCCTGCCAGTGGGAGTTGTTAAACACTGGCACTTCTGTAACCTTGCCTATGGGGTTAAACATTGGCAACTACTGTGCCCGCCAGTGGGAGGTTTATAAACGCTGGCCATGACTTATAGACGAGACTACTGAACCGAGTTTTCTTCTGCATTGACGGTTTGTCATGAAATGTTTTGTTACTGAACTGAATCTGATTTTGTATTGACGGTTTATCATTGAATGCTTTGCAATCGAACTGAATTTGATTTTGCCATTGAGCGTTTTGTTATATTAAACTGTTTATCTGGCATGCTAAAGTTTTACTCAAGGGCTATCCATATTTACTTACTGAGTTATCTCATAGTTTTCCTTGTCCACCATTTCAGGAAGCGAAACTGAGGACGGGGAAATCGAGGGGAGTGACGAATTAGAAGGCTAGCCATTCAATTGGGGTATAAGTTTTAGATTTTATCATCCTTTTGTAAGGTTGATTTTATTCTTGAGATTTTGTGAATTGGATAAGTTCCGAGCCTTGTGTATTTGTGGGACCCGTCTCACGAGTGCACGGCGTCTGTCGCGCCTCGGATTTGGGTTCTGGGGCGTGACATCACGTGCGGTCCCAAACAACACATGCCAGTAAAACCCTTCTTTCTCCTTTTCTCATCCAGTACAGTCCAGGTATTCTGATTCTGAAAGTGGATGGAAGGGATACAGTTCAGTCCAGCC